TTGTAAAAGTGAGAATCTTCTTCAGTTTTCCTTACGTTAGCAAAACACATGCTAATGTAAGTCTTTTATAAACATGAAGTGGCATAAACCAAACTTTTGAGAAGTGGGGAATATTTGCATGATATATATACAATCTGTGTATGTGTATTTTAGAACAAAAGTTAAACATATTTATTATTGTGATTCATAACCCAAAAGAGAATGAAATGCACCATCCTCCACCATCATTGACTTAGACCTATTATCTTCCTATTAACCCAATTTACTATTTAATGAACATTCTTAATTTATCTACTACATTCTCTGATAAACACTAAGGACAGAAATTAGCAAACTTTCTCTTCCTTCAAGGAAGTAACACCCTAACAAGAACTACAAAAAATGGAAATGAGTTCAATGTGTGTCATTTATTAGCAGTATGTCAAAATATGAACATAACTATGTCTGGAGGACTTTATCCTGTAAATATTTTTTTTACAGAAAGTGACTTTAGTGCTCAGTCTTGAAGGATGATAATGAGCTTAGTGGCCATATGTGAAAGACGAGAACATGTCTTATAAATAAAAGCAACTCTTGAGCAAAAGCTTGCAGGTTTGAAAATGCAAGTCACATTTAGGAAATAGCAAATACATTAGATGTTTATTAAACTAAGAGAGAAGAACTGGGAAGAATGTAACACATAAGGCATTAAAAAAACATTTGGGCCAGAAGGTTATTTATGTGAAGAAGTATAAATTATATCCTTTAAGCAGTGGGGTATCATTGAAGATTCATGACTGAATCAAAGTTTCGTTTTAGAAGGATAATGATTAAGTATAAAAGATAGATCAGCATCTGGGTTAACTGGAAGCAGAGAAATCAGCCAAGTCATTCTAAAGATATGGATGATAAATAAATGCACTGGAATGTAGCATAGGAATGGAGGAAGTAAATATCCAAGAAAAACTGAGTGTGGGAATTACCAAGGTAGGAGTGGAGCAGGAGGAAGAATCCAATGAACTTCAAATGTCTGAGTCAAAACACTTGATTGAGTAGGTGAAGGGTGATGCTGGTAATCACAATAGGAAGAGAACATCAATCCCTTTTATGGAGGGGTATGCTGATTTTAAGAAACCTGTCAAAAGAACAAGCTGTTCAGCAAACTATAGCTTTTGAGTTCATAATAAAAATCAATGGTAGAGATGTGATGGATTGAAAGTGACCACAAGTTATTCTCAGTTCTTCCCATCAAGAGGAGGCGTCTTGTTTCCCCAACCTTTGAATATGGACTGGCCCAGTTATTTGCTTGGACCACCAATTGTAGAATTGATACCATGTAGCTTTTTAATGTAGGTGTCAAGAACACCTGTATCTTCTCCTCCGCCCTATTAGAACATTGCCATGATGTGAAAAAGTCAAAGGTAATCTGTCCAAGAGCTGAACAGAAAATTTCAAAGATCAGCTTGAGAAGATAAAGCAAAATACTACAACCAAATGTGCAAAGATCTGGAATCAGAAAACCAAAAAGGAAGCACACGCTCATCATGTCTCAAGCTGGGGGAACTGAAGAAAAAATTCAAGCCTCAACTTAAGTTAGTGGAAGATTCTCTGGGCAAATTATTGACTGATGCAGAAAGCATCAAGAGATGATGGAAGGAATACACAGAGCCACTGTACCAAAAGGAAATGGTTCGTGTTCAACCTTTTCAAGAGGTAGCATATGATCCAGAGCCAATGATACTGAATGAGGAAGTCCAAGGTGCATTGAAGGAATTGGCAAAGATCAAGGCACTAGGAATTGATGGACTCAAAATGGAAATCTTTCAAGAAAGTGAGGCAGCACAGGAGGCACTCACTCATCTCTGCCAATAAATTTGGAAGACAACTATCTGGCTGACTGATTGGAAGAGATCCATATTTGTGCCCATTCCAAAGTGAGGTGACCCAATGGAATGCGGAAATCATC